AAGGCATTTACTACCTTTTTATGGTATTTTCAGTTTGGATAAATCCTGAATTATGTAATTTATATGATGCATAGTCACTTTTCCAGGCAATGTGTATACCAACCTGGTAAAGGAGCCTTTAAACAAGCCTTCTCAGTCTTTACATGGCCCCAAACAGACAGATCTATGTCTAGTCATAACAGAAAATTATTTATTTGACCTGATTTGCAATTATAAGGTACACAAAAAAAAACTTTTATATTTCTTTTTGACAGTATCTTACAAATCCATCTCATCCAGCCCATGCTGTCCTTCCTTAAGCCGTGTGGCACATGTAACAGCAGTCAGCATGATTCCTTAGATGAGTGCTCAAGCCATGAGGCCAACGCTGTCAACTTCTTCTGAGTCAAAATTTAGTTTAAATTCGTGTGAGGTACTATAACACAGAGAACCCACTTCTTTGTAAGAGTGCAGTTATCTTAAGCAGACTCCAGAGATAAAATTTGGTAAACAGGGAGGCACAGGAAATAGCTGAAATCATTTGTTTAAGCAAGCACCGAGCGATGGTGTTTTCCAGCCAGAAAGCTGAAAAATTTATAGTATCTATTTGTGGCTTACAAACCCCACACAAACACTCCTTCTCTCGCTCAGTCCTGGAGTCCGCCACAGTGTGAGCTGTGTTTGATTACATCAGTGTTGAATTTGGCCTGGCAGAACCCTTTAAATGGCGTATAATCTCAGACCAACAGGGCAACCTATTGTTCACCTCGTCCTTGCTTCGGTGTAGAGATAAGGGGGTTGCTTTGCTACCTGTCTCAGTGGGAGGCTGCCTAATCTGTGAGACATTTCCTTGCTTGCCGTTGCACAGCCAGCACGGCTGGGTCAGCTTTGGGTTGTAAGGAAGCTAATAACCTCATGTTCACTGATGCTCATCAGAGCATAGGTGGGACAGCTTTTCATTCAAAATGGGTCCCCAAAGATGCTTGTCTCCCCTTTGGCACAGATGTTCCCGTCACCTCGACTCCGGTCACGGCGTTCTACCACGGCTGCATGACTGTGAAGCTGAACAGCAAGGCACTGGACTTGGACGAGGCACTGTACAAGCACAGCGACATCACGTCACACTCGTGTCCTCCAGCTGAGGCGGGTCCGTAGGTACCACTGCAAGGCGAAAGTTTTATACTAGGGAACTTTCAATGCTTTTCTTTTTTTTTTTTAAAGATATAAATTATTCAGACCTACCGCACTGCGTGTATAGTTTCTCTTAAACACTGAAGTTATGTAGGAGCTACTGATCCTTATGTCAGATTGATTATTGAAATACTCCTTTGCTTTGAGGTTTAAAGGTTGTAATATATTTGTAAATAGTTCAGAAGACTAATATTAAATAAGCCAAAAGTACAGAATATGCCTAAATGAATGTCATGTTTAAACTGTAAGAGACAGTTTTATCTGGAATGTGGAAAACCTGGTAATATATGAGTGTGGACTGGAAGAAAAATAATAATTCTGTATTATTTTTATTACCAACACTGCTTTCTGATTTGCAAAGTATGAGAGAATAAAATATTTACATACAAGTTTTTAATTTACCTGTACTCACATTATTCTGTACTCTGCTATTTGGAGATGATGACTCAGGCTGTGCCTGATATGGAGATTACAATAGTGTTGTGGGTTTTTTTTGTTTCAATTTGTTTGGAGGCAGGGGGTTATGTGTTTGTGTCAGTATTACATATCCTTGGGCTGGAAAGCGCACGGTTGCTGCTATTATTATTGCTACAGTTTTTCTTGCTGGTACCACAGATGGAAGACTCAGTTGTGACCTTTAGAAAAACTCTTGGTCAACAGAGAATGGAAAAAAAAAAAAAAACAAAACTGGGTCAGCAGGAAACAATTAGAAGAAAAGACTCATAAGCTGAAAGCCATATGGCTTTTGTGTCAATAACCACTGAAGCAAATGATGAGGTGTTGAGAATTGGGAATATTAAGTGGTGATGACATTTTTTTGCTGCTTAATTTTGAGGTTGGCTCATTCACCGTGAGCCTAACGGGAGCACAGAGGCTTGTGATTCTGAGAGTTAGCCAGGCTGAATTGCAGTGCGGTGAGAATATGCTTGTGGGTTTACTTAGGAGAGGTTGTAGAGCCATAAAGTGCATTTAACTTCTAAACTATCCTGGTGCTGCTGGGGCAGGCTTTGCCTAGCCTGCTTTGAGGCAACTGAATCTTGCTTATTTGCTCCTTGCTTTCCAGTGGGTTAAAGAAATGAGAACGAGAGGTATGCCGTGGTGGATATCTGAACACTGGGTGGCTAAGGTCACCCTAGTGCTTCACAGGGGTTAATATGGAACAGGTCTAATTCTACAAGTTTTTTTTTATATAAATTGTTCCCAGTCATTCTATGCCATGTTTTGCCTAGTCAAATACGGAGCTGATGGATTAAGCTAATAATGCACACGTGACAAGGTAAGTGACCGAGGTGTGGAGATGTAACTGTCCCAGAGGAATGAATGGAGGCAGGGCAGGACTATCCCAACTGTATCCCAGCTGACAAAGGTTTTTACACTCAGGAATGACCAGATGCCAGTTTGGAAGGATAATTGCTAACGAGGACAGTGATAACGGGGACAGACTCACTGGTGGACTGTGCGTGGATTGGATAGGAAAATCCAGAAGTATTTCTATGGGTTCGCTTTTTGATATTGAGCAAGGGATACCAAGTTATGTGCAGGAGTGCTTTCTGTTATAGTCAATGATGCTGGATCAACCTTGAGATTTGATGGAGAACTGAAGAAACATCAGCTTATTATTCCAGTGAGAGCAGGGAATCCTGAAGGTATTGTGGTGAACAGCACTTCCTCACTGTGGTGGTTTGTTTTCTGTTTGTTTTTCCTGGTTATTTTAGTACTTTACCAAAATACGTCTCCCATTCTTTTAACTTGGAGGAGCTCTAATGCAAACAGTACAAACTTGGATGGCACCTACTATTTTTTAAACCAAGTAGATGGAACAAACCCCATTTTACTTTGTTCTTTTCAAAGGAAGCGTGTTAGCAAAGCAGTCTTATGTCTAGCATTTGTTTTTTGGTATAGTTTCTGTGGTGGATCCCAGAAAAATAACATGTGGCATAAATGAATCACAAATATGTCTGACCTTTGTGTTAATGTAAGTGGTACTGTTTATGAAGCCAGATCCTGGAAACGCGAATCTTGTGGTACATTGTGGCAGCCTGCAGTTGCAGGCTTAGTATTATGTGAAAAAGACTGTAATTCATTTTTTTTTTAATAACAGTCTGATTCGGAACTAAAAATATCGCTAGGATTGTGCGTATCTGTGCATGTATGAGAAGATATTTTGCATGGACTACAACAAACTCCAACCAAAATGTGGTTTAGAAGAAAAAGCCAGAGTTTGCAAGTCTGGAGAATTACAGAAAGGGAGGCAAGGAGTGTGGGGGGGTGCTTTTGTGTCAAACTTGATTGCTTTTTATACCCTAACACTGGAAGAAGAGGCAGCTACTTCTATATATTGTTGAGAAGAAGAAATAAAATGATAAGCATTCCTTCATCCCTCCTCAATCACTGTGCTTCAACCCAAGAGAAACACTGATTTCATTTTTGTTCTGTTTGCAGTCTAGGTGCTCAACTCAAAGGGACCAAGTCTGGGGTGTGTTTTTTTTTTGACTCCAAAAGTGCCCAAAAATGAACCCAGGTGGTTCTCCAGGGAGTATTCATAGTAACTCAAAGTAAGTCAATTTGCAGTTCCACTCCTGTTCTACTCAGTGCATGATTAGGGTGATCGTGCTTTTCACAGCATGCATTTGCACAAGAACTACGAATTTTGGATGTATTGAATTCATGAGTAGAAGTAAACAGCAGCCTCCCCTCTGACTGTGTTTCTCTTAACCTAGTTCATATCACTGACCTCATCAACAATACAAGGTAGGCGCCTTGTCACCAACGTTAACATCACTGGCCTAAAACTTTGCATATCAGAAAAAAAAGATGGAATACATAGAGTATGTTTTTTATGGTCCATATAATTATTTTATATGACTTTATAAATTATTTTATATGACTTTATTTGTATTAGTTCTGAATCTTTTTTTTATACGTAGAGGTACAGCACATGAATCAATAGAAATTCTTGAAAGGTGGAAAGTATTATGTAAAAGGATGATCGTCCTTTGGTCTATTTTCAGCTGGTCTGATGGTGTCACTTCCTTTCAAAGGAAACTGTCAAGTAGGCTGGTTTTGTTTATATAGTGTTTCTTTATATTTCCATAATATGAAGCAGCTGCTTAAAAAGCTAATGAGAAATACCTTCCTTTCCTTGCTTTGCTCTTTGGCCTTTCAGAAAATATCTATAGCTTCACTGCTGTCTAGACTGCAAGATCTACAGAGCAAGCAGCAGCACCATCCCTCTTCCAGGAGCAAAACGCAGTGGCGTGGTGCCATAATCTGATGGGTTTCCATGCCTGTGTAGCCACTCCTGCCCCTAGATATGAAAGCCATGCTCTAAGAGGGATCTCAGCCAATACGATGTACAGAAAGGAGACAGGGCACACACAACTTTGTTCCTGTCAAAGGCACTGTTACAAGTATTGCCGCTTAGCCTTGTCAAAGTATTTCCAGTTCTGTACAATGGGGAAAATTATGAAGGAATTCCGACCCTTCATCAGCTCTTTCAGTGGTTGCAGAATTACCAGACCTTGTTAAACTTAAATAACTGGGGTTCACAGAGAGCGCTTTTGGTTGTGATCCTCTTTTGATTAGAAAGGAATTAATTCCAACACTAAAGTGCAGATTAAACATCTGTCTGGAAATTGCACCTTTAGCGTGCTGACATGACATTTTACTATGAAGACTACACTGGCATCAAGTGCAAATTTAAAAAAAGAATCCAGTAAAATTAACCTTTCTGTTTGAAACTTGAGGGAATTATTCCATAGGGTAGTTTTCCCTCTTTTTATTTTTTTCTTTCTTTTTTTCTCATAAATATAACAGCCTTAGGTACAGTATAAATATACACAGTCAATTTTATTGCAAAATAATTGCCACACATTTTTTTTATTGGTACAACTCTTTCACCAAAAAAAAGGGTTCTTAAATAAATACTACAAGCAAACAAACACCGAGGCTCTTCCTACCCAAAGTGATTTACTCAGAGAGCTCCAGACTACCCACTCAGACAACACAGACTAAAACCCCTCTATACTGGTCTATGAAAGCAGAACACATATCCAGAGCGTTTTCTTCACTTCTCCTCTTGAAGAAAAATCACTCTGCAGTATATGGAGAAGGAAAAAACTCAGGGTAGGCAGAAAGCAATACTGCATTTGACTGCAGGTAGGCAAACTAGGTGGTTACCTGTCACACTGCTGGTGATGTGCCTGCCCTGACATTGCCAGGTTTCTGCTCTGCTTGGGGGGATGTGGCTAAAAGCAGAGTGGCCGTGACACACTCTGTGGTGGGTTCCTTGCTATGTCTAGTGCCTGTGGGGCACAGGGTTTCCAAAGGTTTCTTAAAAACAAAGAAGCCTACCAGCTGCCTAAAAGACATTCTTTGTCCTACGGTGCGTACGGTGGAGGCTTTTCTCCAGGCAAAAAGTAAGTCGGTGCATAGAGGGGTGGAGCATTGGGGGGGAGGCCGTAGTTGGAGCTGGACTGAGATGAAGGCTGAGTTTCTTCTGATAAAGAAATGTCAGTAGATGATGTTCCTGGAAAATTGCTGGCAGGCTGTATACAGACAAAGAAAAACGCTTCAATAAATGATTATGATCCCGTTTGTGGCTCTGCTTTAAGTGTTTACCATGTAAGTATTATGTCCCACGGTTATTTCTCATGCATTGCAGCACAACACTCACTTCAGTATTAGAGAACCTGCTTAAGGACAGCGATTACAGTGTACAGTGAAAGAAGACAGATTCCACCTGTAATCCAAGTCATTTTTAATAGACATTGTGCATACAGCTGGACAACAGAACAGGAATTTCTGCAGAAGGTGCTTTGGTTTCCTGGGTGAGGCATGGCACCCAACTGCCTGATTAAGTTACATATAGCTGCAAATTTCTAGGCATCACTCTAAAATCTCAAAGTTGTAATACTTGCATAAATGCAGGTTTTTTTCTTATTGCTGTGCCAAATGCAGACTCCTTATAAGAGAAAATTTACAGGTAGGCATTCTTTAAAAGACCTCCTTGTAGGTCTTTCACCTCGGCTGTCCCAGTTACAAGGAGGCCTTGGCTGAAATAGGCACAAAAAATAAGCAGCCCATGTTGAGTAACAACTAGGATTTATTAAAACAACAGGATGCCTCTAGGGACTATTGTTCTGGATAAAATCCTCCACTACTCTAAACCAAGTTTTGCCATTGTTTTCAAGAGGGTCAGGATTTCACTCCTCCCCTCACATGCCAGTCCATGGGCTCCATCAGAAGAGTTGGGCTCAGCTCCCTTCAAGTTCAGGCCTAAAATGCCTGGAATTTAAAAGAAAAAATAGTAAACATGGATCTATTTCAAGGGAAATCTAAAATCCAGGCAAGCAAACAATGCTGTCTTGGGTACTTACCATGATAAAAAAAAAAATAGTAGTCATCATTTAGAAGGCCAGTACCAGGGCTGATACTTGGCTGGTGGCACCTCAGAGCTGCCCAGGGTTGCCAGTCCCCATGCCACGGGGGGGACTTTGAAGGAAGGGGACTTTGTGACAGGAAGGTTGTTTGTGCACCATAACTATGCAGGAGGCAGTGCAAGTATACCTATAGACCTGCTGGCTAGATCAGCTCCAAATGGAGTTATTGGGTTTTATTGCTCTTTTTTTGTTTGTTTTGGTTTGGTTTTCACAACCCCAGCAGCCCCTGCACAGCTCGTCATTTACCTGACCGGCTGGCAGGCCTCCTACCCAGACCGGCTGTGACTGACCTGTACCAGTAAGGGATGAGTGATTTTGTTACCACATGCCATGGTAAACAAATGAAATGCTGGTTACAACTTCGTCAGAATGCATTCCTGGTGTCACCTCTGTTTTTGTGTTTGGCTGATTGCTGCTTGTGGGCAAACTGTGAGGTAAACTAAGCTGGTTTGGCACCAGCTCAAGGTGTGATTATTTTTTTAAGACTTTGTTTGCCTCAGCAAGCAGGTATGCAGTGAGATACTGAATTCAGCAGAAGACTGAGAACAAATCTTAGTCTTAGCTGAGCTGAGCCTCCACATGTGTGACCCCAACTGGGGACCCCAACAAAGCAGGGAGCCAAAGGGAATGCTGGAAAGAGAGATGTGTCATGGGGCCCACCTCGCTGTACAGTTAGCAAGGGCACTGGAAAAGGAATGAGGCCTGAGGGTGAGATGCTGGCCTCCAGCTGGGCTTCACATGTGGACAGGACACAGGGGTGAGCTCCTGCTGGGGCCGGCCAGCAGCACAGCACGCTCAGTGCCACCCCAAACACATGGTGCACAGCATAGAAACTGATTCCCACCCCTGGTCGGTGGAAAGGCCTCTAGGGTGCATTCATAGCACTCACTTCATACATCTTTCACCTGTGATAATCGACATGTGAGAAGTGCCTTGCGATCTCTGTGGACTCTGAAGGGCAGACCTGCTTGGGTGGAGTCCTCTACACTGTAGACATCTAGATCTTAATTCAGCTGCCCACACGAGTGTCTAGCCCTTTGGGGATGTCATGGGGCATGCCAGATATCCACACAGACATGGTACAGTGACTACAGGACCTGGACCCTCATAGAGCAGCACCAGGGGGCATGTGGCTACTTGATCTCGTTATCTCACATCACTAGATCCCTACATGTCAACAGCCCGTGTTTAGCCAGCTGAATCCCAGCCACAAAGCCTGTAGTTGCCTTAAGGACCAGGACCAGCTGAGGAGGGCTTGTGAAGGCCTGAATTCAGCAGCTAGACACCAGGCCACCAGCTGCTTGGAGCACTTAGATGGATTATGAAGGCCTCCAGCCCTATGGGTTCAGCCCACAGCTCTCAGTGGATGTCATCTGAGCATCTGGCTGTTACAAATCAGGCCAGCTTCTCACATTCACCCTTTTGTAACTTTGAGTAAGCTTATTACAATTTTTAACTCATAACTATTCCATTATGCTGAATGCTGATGCAGAAATTAATTCTCTCTAAACTACAACATAATTAGCTCATACATGCAGTAAAGCTGCTTGACTTTTTTTGGTTTTCTCTCTTCTTTTTTCTTTTTTTCTTTTTCTTTTCCAAGAAAAGGATTAAGTGCTTCCCCTTTTGGAGCCCAGTGCTTCTTGCTAACCTCTCCTGGCCTGAGGACAGCTGGTGATGTCTGCCCCTGAGTGTTATGAAGGGGAGAGAAGATAAATGAACACCCTTCTTAGAAAAAGTAGAAATGTAGGGGAAAAAAGTATTTGTTTTGGAATGCAGTTAAGAATTTGGGGGTAAATATTTCTGTTTCTCAGTGGACACAGGACTGAACAATTACAATTGATCCTCAAGACTACTTACATGCATCTTTTCAGCCTCATTGCTTTCTTTCGTCTCTGTTTATCCCCTTCTCTATTCTTGGCTACGTGCTAACTGAACTCTGCAGAACAGCACAGCTTTTCAGCTAAAAGCAAACAAAAAAAAGATCTCCGTGTGTACTCTTTTTTTTTTTTTTTTTCCTCTCAATCAGTGGTCTCCAAAAGTGCCTGGCCCCATTATCTTATTTATTAAAATGTGCCAAGGACTGTTCTTTGGCTGTGAAGCCAACTGGCACAGCACACATCACATCCATACAGCTGAACCAAACCAGTGTGTCTCTCTGTATGCATACCACTTACCAGGAATGGTCCAAGGCTCCTGCTGGCTCCTGACCCCTTCCTAGGTGTTGATGGGAGACTATTAGATGGTCTGGGCCAAACCCATGCCAGGAGGATGCTAACAACTCACTGGTGTGGGTGGTCATTGGCCCTGAGGAGATGTGGCCTGGGAGGCTGTGGGGAGCTGATCCACAGCCAGCTCGTGCTAAACATGCAGTGTTTTCTATTAAGAATTGCAAAACATGCAGTACCCATCGGTCTGACAGTAGACTGCCAAAGCGTAACAAGGCATTGGACTGAACAAACCAGCTTTATTGTGATTTAAAAACCTAAAAAATGCCAGCAATCTCTTTAGTGTCTCAGTACAGCTATTTACCACCTCATCCCTAATGTTCTTCATCTCGCTTTGCCTGCTCTGTGCTGTACGGCCTGAGCCCAACCATGACGGTGACTGGTGCCCAAGGCCCTGCCATGGCCAGGAGCACTGCTGGCCTCCCAGCTCTGTGAGGGAGGGACAAGGGAGAGTTACAGCAACCAGCGTGGGCCTGCAGAGCACGTGTACTCTGAGTACAGACACCTAGATGTTGTGCAGGGGGAGAGACAAGTGTCCTAAAAGAGAATTTTTGAGTAATACCCATGTAAGTAGGGAGCCACTGTGGATTGACGAGTATGCGTGAGCATTTACCTTCCACAACAGTCCTGTCAGGACACAAGGCACGTAGCTCATGGGACATGCTGCCAGGGACCCTCTGTGGAGGGAATTAGTCTTGCCTGTGCTCCACAGAGGGTCCCTGGCAGTGGGACTGGTGGTGGGAATGGTGCCTTCTCCACTGAAGCTATTTGATAGCCAAGTGGCATAGGAGCAGGTGAAGGACCCTTCAGGCAAAGGAGAGTCAAGAACTGTCTTGTCACCAGGCTACTTGAGCAAAAAATAAATAAAAATCAAGCACCATCCTCAGCATCACTCACTGCTTTTTCCAGGCCAGCTCTGGGCTGGACTCCATGTGTTTAACAGCAGCTGAGGGACTAGGCCCCTAACCCCTCATTTATACTCTTCTTTGGTGTGTCAAAACACTTCCTCCATCTGGCTTGTCTTGCCACCAAAAAGCTCTACCAGTACAACCAAAACTGTGTGATGAGTAGCTATCAGTAATATCCAGCCACAGTCCTTTCCATATCACTCAGTTTTACAGACCTCTTATTTCCTCCCCTTTCTTGTCTCCTTTCCATCTGTTGAGTCCTCATCTACTGGTTCCTATATTATGAGTAGCATGGACTAAGGCATGTAAACCTTTCTGACAAATCCTGTATAACTGATATTCCTTTGGCTTCCCCATATGGCTCTGCTCCTGCTTTACCTGGCCCAACACAGGAGCTGCTTTCACCTTTGTGACTGCCACAACACAGCTCTTATCCCACATTGGGATTTCTGACTAACAGATAGAGCCCAAAGGACAACCAGAGAAAATTGAAGATCTAGGGACAGACCTAAGAACAAGACCCAGGCTAAATCATCCCAGAGGCAAGCCTGTGCATTGGGATCCAACTTCCTGACCTGGTTGCAGACCCTGCTGGAGCCAAGACCTACACTTGAGAGTTTGTACCGAGAAGCAGCTCAAGGTTTTCTGATGGAGCAAATGGCACCATTTTGTACTGTACCTGAAGAGGCAACGGGTAGGATGGATACGTAGAAATAGTGGCAGCAGAAGGACAAAACCCAGCATACGTCAGGATCTGCTGGGCAGGATTGTACAGGATCTGAGGAGGAGGTGCAGCACTGAAAGCAATTTGGGACATAGGTACCTGTTGAGCACAGAAAACAACAATTTATTAGCACAGTGCAGAGGGGTCTGGGGCAGGAACCAGTCCCAACAGAAGTGACTAACAGCTAACAACTTCCTATTTTCCAGCATAACGCCAGTACTACAAAATAAATAAATAAATAAAAATAAGTGACAGACATAATGAGGAGAGGGTGTATCTGGAGTGAATTTTCTGGCCAGAATTACACTGCTATTTTAATCTTCTTCCCTCGGAAAGGAAAAAAAAAAAAAAAAAAAAAAAAAAAAAAGACTACTGGTGCTTCCCTAGCACCAGTTACAGAAGCTCTGGCAGGGCTCCAGACCAGAGACACCCTGAAAAGCACAGCATACAGCTTTGACCGCCTCGTCTTACCCACTCCAGCAACCCTTCCTTCACCCTTTGCTGCAGACTCTTCCCAATAGCAACTACCTGATGCCCTCGTGTCTTTTCCCACCACTTTTCCTACACAGATCTGTCCAGACCACTTGTTTGTCTTTCACAGCTTCTTCTCACTTGTGAAATGGAGTTTTCTGCTGGCTTTCCAATACCGCTCCCTACATGCATATCTCATTTCTACTGCACAAAATTAGGATTGTCATCTGTATCAGAGTTGAATCGACTCCTTGACCATATCTCGTGGCTCTAGTGGCATGTCCCTTGACCACAATGTGAGATAAAATTTGCAGGAGGAAGTAATAGCTCATTTTAAACCAACCAATAAAATTAGGAAAAAACAAACAACAAAACAACAACAACCAAAAAAGCACAAACAAAACAGAAGGTTGAACGTGACGGGGGACTTGTGTTCCTAAAACCCTGTGCTACATAACCATTTGTGAAGGACAGCAGAGCTCTGTGAAATATTTTCGTGACCCTCTGCTTTGCAAACAGAGACAAATTCAGTGGTTTCTCTCAGTGGTTTCTCTCCGCTCTGTTGGTTTTTATTAGCAGATTCCTTCACATGAGAGCATGGAATTCTCTTTTTATTGAAATAATAAAAGTTGGTGGTTGCAAGACACATACTGAAAGCAGCTGCCAGGATTTTTTTGGCATTTCCTCTCAGACTTATCTGTGAGAGACATGAACCACTGTGTCCTTCAGAGATAGCGCACACGTCGTGGTTGAGGCAGGGGTGCATTTGTTGTGTTTTTACATGGAAAATGGCATCTAGGTCACTGATGTACCACACGAGGTTAAAGCAGAAGGCCTAATTCGTGTGAGAAGGAAAATCTCTCAGTTTTGAGGTACTCTCTCAAAACACTTCCCTTCTATCTGCCCTGCAGGGTGAGTATGGTGGGAAGAAAGAGAGAAACTGCCTTTCAGACAGCAGTAGCAAGAAGGAGCTCATGAGATTCCCTCAGATCCAAAAGCTTCAGGCCAGCAACATGGCTCGCCCGGGCTGGGGCAGGACCAGCAACCAACGTGTCCTTCCTTGGAGGAGGGAGGCTCTGGAGCAGCCGTATCCCTCTGGCTACGGACATAAGGCAAGAAACACTTGTTTTGCACAACATGAAATACAGATTTCTGGTCTGAATCTGCTCCCAACTTTCTGCTCTGGGACCTCTAAGGTATCTCTGTCCTTCCAAGAGTGATTTTAAATCCTTTCACGTTCTCTCCACCAATAACAGGAACATTCTCCCATTGCTAAGGACAAACATCACAACAGTCCTAGTAGACAGATTTGGGGAGTCAGCCACTCCAAACCCACTCATCGAGCATCTTATTATCAGACTATCTGGTCTCAGCCTGAAGCCAGTAATGACTTGCAGGTATTCATAGAACCACAGAGCCAGTAGGGTTGGAAAAGCCCTCCAAGATCACCTGGTCCAACCACCCCCTACCACCAATGTCACCACTAACCCATGTCCCCAAGCACCAGGCCCAACCTCTCCTTGAGCACCCCCAGGGACGGTGACTCCACCACCTCCCTGGGCAACCCGTCCCAGTGCCTGACTGCTCTTTCTGAGCAGAAATGTCTCCTCATTGCCAGCCTGAACCTCCCCTGGTGCAACCTGAGGCCATTCCCTCTGGTCCTATACCAGGTATTCTAGTAGTGGTACTACGTTTAATTAATCATCTAAAACACAAGGGTAGGTGGAGATGTTTTAAACCAACACATGCACCCAAGTCAAAGAGAGAAGCTGTCAGCTGGCCTGGAAGCACTATCAGTGTAGGCATCTCCAGCCAGGGAGCAGCTCCACACAACAAATTTAACAGCAAATTGCAACCTTAGTTGCGGGAGTGCTAAGATACGAACAAGTGGAAAGTAGCTCGATGATTAGGGGTTTATTTCATTTTCTTTACTTTTGAGCAGGGTGAAGGAAGAGGAAAGGAGAGATAGGAATGATATTTCATCTGTCCGCATTCCCCTGAGGACTCTGAGGAGGAAACTAATTTAATAAAATAATAATAATAATAATAAAAAGCCAGCATACTCCTCCAGGACCAGAGGTCACTCTGATTACTGCAACCCTAAACTCAGGGCAGGCAGATTCCTTGGCAAGGTGTGTCAGGAAAACATCTCCAAGTCATCAGCTGAATACCAGGGCAGGGAAGAGAGATTTGAGATTAACTCTTTGTACTAGCAAGTGATTTTTTTCATGCACTTTACCTCTCACATAAGAAATGATCAGGGCTTTTCACCGTTTTGGACACTCCTATTTCCATTACGTCTTAACCTGCCTTTTGTTAAAGGTGAATTTAAGATTGTATCCAGGCTCATGGCAGATCTGGAGAGGAAGGTACCATCACAAACACCGCAGCTCCCCCAGCAGATCACAGGGGACAGCCCCACAGGTGACCCAGGGGCCACCACGAGCTGATACCCTGGGCTCAGGGAAGGATGACGGGTTTCCCACTAAGCCAGCACTACTCTCTGGCACACAGCAAAGCCACGGCAAGCATGCCAAGGTCTGCACTGAATTTGTCACAAGGAAGAAACACACAACAACCAAAACAACATTTTATTTTTTTTTTCTGTCCAGGAAACATGATGGATTTAGAAGCAACTGCGCTGTTTTGCAAACTCTCTTCCTTGCAGCATGTTTTGGCTGCCAGCATTCCCAGAGATAAACATGCTGTTTTTTTTGTTTGAATAGTCAGCCGGCCTTGTGTTTTCTGGAAGTCAACCTCAGAGCAATGCCCTGAGGCATTTCAATGGGCTTTAAAGCTCCCCCTGGAAAATGCCAGCGAGCATATCTGTGGGAAGGTGACATCCTGAAAGAAAGTGAAAATTGTTCTCCCACACATTTCAAAGCTTTTTCTTATTTCAGTCCCCTGCCCCCTTCTCTCTCCCTTCTGTTTGATGTTTTCTTGCCCTCCCCTCCTCTTCCCCCCACACTTTTCCCAAGAATTACTCTGTTAGTAATGAAAGCAAGCAGCAGATCAACAAAACAGTCATGGTACATACCTCAAAAGGACCCTGAAAAAGCAAAGGAGCAAGAAATGGTCATTGGATTGCTTTTAATAACACTGTCACAAACATAGCATGGTTCCTGTGCTAAGCTAATTGACACAAATTCATCCTTCCCCTTAGGCTAGTGAGTTGTTTTTGTTTTTTGTTTTTTTCCCCAATACTGCTGCAGAGGTCTTATTAAACAGCTTATTCAGATCAGGTTTTAGGTTGGAGCCTCAGCAGACTCACGCCAGCCAAGTCCAGAGGGAAGCTGCTGCAAATTGCTTGCATGGCTTTTTGCCACTTGGTTGGAGGACCCAGAGCTCGACCTGGGACTCTGCTTCCCAGCACGGGGAATGCACCAGGTCACCGAGACCCCACCAGGTCACAGAGACTCCAGTTCTCCCAGGACATCCTCACAGCATGGAGATCTGCTTGGGTTTGAGCTCACCCTGCTACAAAGCGAATGTTTGCAACTTAACAAAGGTGAATTTCAGGTAAAGGCCATGAAGAGGAGACTGCTCTGTGTGGAGGAGCGCTGCAAAGATGCTGGGTGGGCAGAGCAAGCCCTGGATGTCCTCCAGTCTGACCGGGTCCTTGGCGGCCAGCTCGAAGCAGCCCCTCTCCTTTAGTCTGTCCCCAGTGCACATCACCCTCAGCTCTCCTCCTTTCTCTTCCCTGCTCCATCCCTCTCTTCTTTCCTTTCACCTTTCTTTCTATTTAATTCTCCCCCCTCTGAACAGTCACCTGAAACACCATGGAACTAAGAGGACATCTGTTGCTCTTACACCTCCCCTCTGCTCCTGCGTTTCAGCCCCATCCCCACACCTCTGCCTGTTTTAGTTTGGAAGCTCTCTGGGGGAATAAATACCATCTATTCTTCTGAGAGCTAGAAAATTGGGAGCCCCTTGGCTGCTCTGCCCCTCCTGGCACAAACTTTTCTGACTGCCACAGCGTTTATCAGTGTGGCACAGGGAGCAGTCAGAGAGTGGCGCTCCTTAGTGCAACAGCAGAGGATTCACGTGACCCAAATACAACTGTTCAAATAAAAACTTGACAGCTCCTTCAGAGTTAATCCCCATTCTTGGAAAAAAAGAGCTGCACAAATGGGCACACCTGGGACCTGCGCTTTACGTTCCCTACAGACTAGCATGCTTTAAGCCTGTGCTGGCCCCCATGTCCAGTGCTGAATTAGAAGAAAAAAGATGTCAGTAAGTGAAGGGCCAGCATCTGTTCATGCAGACGCCTTTTTTTTTCCCCTCCACTCATGTATTGACCAGGCCTGACCTACTTAGCTGCGAGCAGCTGGCAACTGCTTAGCCTAAATATGCGACTGCAGACTCCCAGACCACACAGGAAACATGTTTAAAGTGCCTCCTTTGTACACTCACGCTTCCTTGGCTTTCTAACTTGCCTGATAACGTCAACAAGCACGGAAGTCACTACAGAAGGCAGAAGACCATGAGCCTTACCATGTCTTTAAAGGCCCCGAGAATGGCTGCCGTGATAATCCCCAGGAACAACCCGATGATGTTGAGGACCGTGGAGGACCACAGCAGCCTGTAGAGGTGAACCACGTCCTGGCAGCTGCTCACACCGAGAAATTCGTAGTAGCTGGAGGACTGCTCTGAGCTGAAAGGGAACGCAGACGGGGTCATGAAATAAAGAGCATGAGGATCGGAGTCCCTCCTGCTTAGTTTTCTCTGTGGCAAAGGACATAATCCATACTCCCACCTACCTGACCGTTTGGTTATGGTGTCTGCAGTTCCAAATTAACAGATGCAACTTACTGCAGTATACAGATGTGCCTTTCAACTATGGGTTGTACTATCCAGAAAACTTTATTTCTGTATATTTCTACACTGCAATGGTTACTGTAAATCAGGCATGTCGTGAAGTCAATCCTCATTACCTCGCTGACAGTGAGAAATATTCTACTCCAAAATGTAAGAAGTTTCCTGCAGTTCTTCCCAGCACCTGTCTTAGTGCTGGCCCACTAATGAGCTCCCAGAGCAGCTGGAAAAGAGCTGGAAAGATTTGTTAAATGCTAGGTCTGGTTTTGCACTGTTAAGAAAGTGCCATCAGATTATGGTGGAAAGCAGAAGCGAGCGGTTTGTGGAATATTTTTCTGTTCCCCCCTCCCCAGCAGGTGGGGCAGGAGTGGGAAGGGTGGTTAGGGAAAGCTCTGCAGAGGTAGCAGTATGGAGAAACCCACAACACTTCTGGGTAGGACCAAGCCAAGCACGGGAATTTCTGGAAATGTCAAATCATTTGTTGTGGGATATGGTTCTGGCACGGTGGATTTGCTATTGTCAAGTTCACTTGGGCTCTCCTACACGAGCCCAGACGTCACTTCACTAAATAAAGCCACAGCTCCAGCTGCCATCAGGCTGAGGGTGTCTGAGTTGCAACCCTGCCTGTGTACTGGCCTGTTGTATGGCTGACACCAAGTCACTTACTGTGACCGTGACATCCTCCAGCTTCTCTTTGTCCATCCTAGGAATTGGAATTGCTGAGTCTGTAAAGCAGTGAGACTGCTTCTCTACTCTTCCCATAAGGTCTTGCTGTCCACTGAGGATTGCTTACACTGGCAGAACACACCTTTAATTATATCATTAAACACTGTCACAGCCATAATAAGTCTCTGATGTTTCCAACAAACCCAATGTATTAGAAAATTGGCACTGAGGAGATGGAGGAGGAGGGTTCATGCAATCATAGAACCATTCAGGTTGGAAAAGACCTCCAAGGTCATCTAGTCCAACCTTTAAACTAGGACTGAAGTCCACCACTAAACCATCCTACTAAATTCTATATCTGAACATTTCTTGAAGACCTGCAGGGATAGTCACTCAACCACTTCCAATGTTGCACAACTCTTTTGGTAAAGAAATTTCTCCTAATATCCAACCTAAATGTCCCCTGGCGCAACTTGAGGCCATTTCCCCCCATCTTGTCACTTGGTGCTTGGGAGAAGAGCCCAATCCCCATCTTGCTAGGGATTCCTGTTCTCTCCTCATTGCTACCTTATACTTCAAGCAAGAGTTTCAGTCAATTTATTTGATAACTCTGAATGCTTTCACCCCTTTAAGACTCCTTTTCTGTGCTGGGTTGGCCTGTTTTAGTTCATTCCACAGAGCTGCACTCACCTCGTGTCTGTGTGCCTGAGCAATATTCACAGAAGACTTCCCTCTAGTCCTGAATTTAAATTTACTTCTCTAATTTAGTTAGGATATGGGCAAAAACTACTCTTTCAAGCGGAAACCTTGTGTTTTATTTCATAGTGCCAGCCTCATTCTCATACACCAAAAACATTCGTGTCCTGTAGCATGCTAGCCAAAGTTTACAGAGGACTGAGGTTTTTCAGGACTGGTGGCATGTGAAAAGGAGGAAGAAAAAAAAAAACAAACACCAGGAGACATAGGAAGGAAGAAAGATGGGAAATACACAGAGGAAAAGGAAGAAGAGGGACTGTGGGTCAACGAGAGGGTTAGAAAGGTTGCACGGGGGTGCATGATGGATGATACTGAGCCCACAGGGAGTGAGTCAGGCAGAAGCTCAACCCTGGGAAATTCTCTCCAGCCTCTTGTTTATGGCAAAACATGATGCTGTTTGCAGTTGAAATCTCTGTGTTCCAGGTGGCCAGTCAGCTGTGTGAGTTCATTTCATCCATCTTCCACATTACAAACCCGCGGGCTTGGCTGTGATGTAGTTTTCCTAACCGCCCTTGTACTCCTGATAAATCACTGCATGGCAACCCCATGCTAACCTTCTGCTGGTCTTTGTAAGCATACCCAGACATTTCCTCACTTCTTATCTCCTGGCTTCTCATGCTTTAGTAATGATGAAGTCAAGTGGACAGCTTCAGGAAACACTCACAAGGCCTTCTGTATCTACACTGGCAACGTAGTGAAAACCCATGCATCTAGAGGCTATTGCTAACAAAAGAGCCCTGCGTTTGTCTGCCACATGATCTCTCTGTAAGGACACCTATGTTCCTATTTTTTTTGTCTTGGGTAGAGTTTGGTAGAAAATAAATGGTTAATTAAATCTAATGAGAAAACTTGACTGCAAGATCACCAGTAAATCTTGACAGGGCTATGCCTGAGTGGTTCTTTCATAACACACCAAAAAGCTTATTGAACAACACACAGGTACTTACTTCTCACAGTTGTACAGGTCACAGCAATAGCACGTGTTGCTCTTTACTTTCAGCTGGCACTTGCTGTTTAAGGTATAACACGTCACCTGCCAAAGAGAAGAGACTGACTTCTAATCTCAGCATTTCAGCACAGCATTCAAGTCATCCTACTGACCCCAAGAAGCAGCACCAGGTTTTATGGGCTGTTGTGTTGGCTGGATGGTGTGCCAGGGCTGCTGGAGTTTTCAGTTTCACTGCTCCATGCTATTTTGAAGACCAAGAGTCCACAGCAGATCCCTACAGCTGTGACACTGGCACCATGGATCTTGAGGGATACATTACGGCAAGCCACTGTAGCAGATAAGAACCCCACTCCATTATAGTGGGGAACTGGGCAAAAATGCCAATTTTCTGAGCAGCTTCTGGTAAATGGGAGCTCTTTCCTTTTAGTACCATCCTCCTGAAGAAGGAAGTAAGAATAACAACAGCAACAATCTCCAAACCCACAAACAAAACCACTCAGGAAAGATCCAAGCACTCCAGCAAGTAATTACCATTTACAGAGGCTCTTGGATATAAAACTTCAAAAGATTGATTTGTGTGAGCAGGAATTACAGGGACTAGATGTTGGAACAATAAGGGTAGATACACATAAGCCACTCTCCACACAGACAAGAAATCATGTTAATGAATCCTTAGGTGTGGTTAGGATATAGCACTTCTATGTGGCACTATAGACCAACTGGAATATTTTATATGCAATGTTGGTTTTGTTTTGTTTTCTGAGATTTTTAGTTTACCGAGTTTGAAATCCTGGAGAACTGTCACATTTTAAAAGCATTTTAAAAGGACAGCAAACACATTCTTGCTATAGTTTTTATTTTGATAGAAAGAACGTGCTGTAACAACTGAGAGGTATTTTGCTTAAAAAATGCATATAAAGCACATTATTGAACAGAAAATTCCTCACAACGAAAGAGTAGATGTAGCTTGCTTAAGAATACATGCCTGCCTTTGAAAAGCATCTGTCAGCCAGTCATTCTCACTCCTGCTGTGCCATGAATGCATTCCTCTGTGAGACAGTACCCAAAGATGTTACACCACATTTCTCAGCTCCCAACTTTTGGATCTGTGCATCCTTTTTAGTGTGAAAACAGCCACTGGCTATGTGCCTATACTCCTCACGTCTTTGTTCCAGGCAGAAAAAAAAGTCTTACACACAGCACCTGAGAAATTTCATCTTGCTGCTGGTCTCAGACTTGCTACAGTTGTTGTCTTCAGCAAGACTTGTTTGAGCAGTGGAAGTGAGAGGGTGATAAAGCTAAAAAGAAGTTAAAGTGATGCCTCAGGGTTGTTTTGCAGCCCAGGACAAGGCTATACATATGGTTAGTTAGTCTCTAATACAAATCAGCTGTTCTAACCCCAAACTGAAATTAGGTTACGAAAGGATGGTTCCAATCTGAGTTGCAATCCAGAACTGGAGTTCACAGCCTATGTCCCACTTGTCACAAGAGTATCTCAACCTGAGGCATGACCTAATTCCATTAACCTCCTCCTCTTGTGTTTGAATGTACTGGAATTTCACACAAGGGCTTTGCTGACCTGAAGGCATAATCAGCTGTAGCCTTCCTCAGCCCAAGCTGCAATTTACTGCAGGAGAAGAGGACACCAATGTCAACGATTGTGTCAGACTAATCAACATCCAGCTCAGAAGTGACTGAAATATCACATGGCTATTTCATAAAGCATTCTGAAAACTGATCCTGGAGCAGACCACACCAATGTACCTGCTGCCAAAGATATTTTGTTGGGATGCTCTAGTCCTTTTGTACTGAGTGGAACATAAGGCCTTGGTTTTGACCCTCTGTATTGGGTCAAAATGGCCTAGGACCCCCACAGAGGGAGCTCAGCAAGATCTTAGACATGTTTTCAGCTGCTTCTAGGCTGCAAGACATACTGAATTTTTGGCCAAGGGAGTTACTGTAGTTGTCTATTTTTATCACTGCATTTTTAAAACATGCAAAGAGCAAGACACTCCTTTTTAGGAGATCAGTGGATAAACCAAAATAAACAAATTGCTGTGTGGTGTGAGCAAGGATGGTGGAAACAGGCCATTTGTGGGTATCCTGCATGTCAAGACCTATTTTTTTCATTTCAGTGACCACACATTTCGCTTTTTCAGGTTCTGGCTGTTTGTGCCTTGTCTATCCCCTCAGCACAATTGAAGAGATGTTCTCACCTCATAGTGATTGCAATAAAATCAAATTGCTTCTGTTATCAGCAAAGGAAAGAACTGAAAACAAGACTCCATGAGTGATGGTGATCAAAAGGAAACTCACACTCAGTAAACAATCTGCCTTCCTGCTTAGGTGATCGCCTGGACTGCAGAGCACGTCCCCTGCTCACCAGCTGGCTAACTTCAGGAAAGCAAAAGCCAAGTTCAAATGCCATGGGTCATTGACTCTGAATTAGCACATGCTGACTCTAGATTAGTGGACAAGCAGACAGGAATGTTATTACAAGCTAGCTACACTTTAAAAAGATAGGTTTGTAGGGGACTTTTTGCCCAGAATAGAGACGGGAGTTCAGGGTGACCAATCTTGAGACATTGCCTAGATCTGCAGAGCCGGGGGAAGCTGCCTGGCCAGAAGCCCAAGGCTGGGGTCACCTGCAGGGAGATGTGCTCGCTGTGACCCCAGCTATGCACTTTAATTAGAGGAATCAGAAGCATTCCTTGGGCCACGTCTCCGTCTGAATGCACATGAACACTATACAAGAGGACAGAGTACAGGAAAGCGTGTTGTCACTGACCCTGGCTTGGTTTGGGTAGGTCTTTAAGCAAGGAGGTCACTGAAACATTTTTGTCACGCATTTTCTGGAACCAACAACAGGGTGCCCGAGCAGTGAGATTTAAGCAGTGTTAGCCTGGCGATGGACCTTGCTAACCTGTCTAGAATTATTAACAGCAACATTCCCCACATGCTTTTTCACAGCAACGGGAGGAATGGTGATGAAGGACATCTGGCTTCTTGCAAGTTATACGAGTGTTTGTTTTCCATCCCGTTCTGCCTGATTTCCTTTTCACTCCCACCAATTTACCATAATAGCCAAATGAAAAATAGGAGAAGAAACTAAATCTGGACTTCTCAGGAGGCCAGCCGTTCGGGTATGGGCACTTTTCCTACCATGTTAATGTCCTTGCGATAATAAAAAGCTGCACACAAACCACTGACATTCTTGGCCTGTGCTGGATAAATATAGAGAATATTTGAAGCCTTCTGGGCAATGCAGATAGACTCTTCTAGATATTTCCTATACCACTTGAAGTCAACAAAACCCTCCTTAGAGAACGATGCCGGTGTGATAAATACATTCCAGACAGCTATTAAACAGTATGGATGGACTAGGAATTGTTCCAGTCCCGGTGTAGTGTGCTGGGCGCAGACATTGATGATGACTCAAAACCTCACTGGTTGTAATGATTTGCAATATTTGGAGGCTTGGACAGGCAAGGAATCACTTGTGGGAGGAAAAAACAGTTGGGTTTCCATCAACCCATGGCTGACATGCACAGAGACACTCTCAAATAGCTGCCTCCCTCCTCCCCAGCCCCTCAATATACTACAGAAATGAGGTGACTTTGCTTACCTCTGTCTGGTAGGCATCATACAGGAATCCTACTCCGCTCGAATAAAACTGGCACCTTCTGTTATACAAAGGTCTGGGTTCCTGTAGAGAGAAAAACAGCCAAAGTACTCGGTCTGGGGGAAGTTTGAAGGCGTCATGTCCCGTGTCCCCTTGCCAGATGTTTACAGCCCTGCAGAGCTGGAGCCAAAGCGGACAGCCGGGTAAGCAGCTCGCACACTCCAGCGCTGGCCCCTTTCCAGAAAGGATCTCCTCAGGGTTACATTTTCCTTCCTCACTCTGCCACTAAGCTATGTGAGTATCACTTAATTTTCTCTATCCCAGTCACCCTTTTTGAGAGGACGTCACCCCTCTAATTAAATACTTCCTTCCCCAATGTTGAATAGCATTGCTCTGTGAGAACTGTCCAGTCAATCTTTTTCTTGGTACAGTTTCTTACCCAGCACAAAGAATTACTTTGATGGGACTTTCTTTTAAAGGATTTCAACAATGTCCACAGTGACAACAGGGTAAAGCACCTAACACTTTGAGCATTCTGCTTACTACATACACTTCAAAACAAGGAATAGTGAAGAAATGAAGGCATTCAGAGAAGTAATTTGCAATAAATTTGCTTTTGCCTACTTCTCCATTTATGATTATTGCAAAAGATGCATTAATTGCTCACAATTTATATTTCAAGTTGGGACAGTTTCCAAAAACTGATATAAAGGAAGGACTCAATGAAATATCCTTGTCTAGATGGAAGATGTGTGTTTCTGAACTTGGGGAATGGCCCCTGTAAGGCCAGAGGGTGCACGCCTCAGCCAATTTCAGGACCTCACCATATTTGTCTAGGGAGCGTTTAATGGTTGAAGAGTTCTCTGTGATAAGCTGTATCTCCCAAAGCAAAGTGTGGGAGTAACTTATGTTGTTGAAGAAGTCTTTTTCAAGTTTTTGTCACTTATATAGTCCTTGGTCATGATCTATGCCTTCAAAGCACTCAAATGCCACTGCCAATAGTCAGTCAGATCAATGCCAAGAGAGAAGATGGAAATTCACTATCTGCCATTTCTTCTTTCTACACTAATTTTCAAGCAAGGGAATACTTCAAATTTTAGCAGAAAGCTGTGTCGATTAACTTTCACTGCATCAGCATGGGCTTTAAAACTTTTTGACCCATCCAGGACTAACCCAGGAACTGCAGAAAGAGCTACACTACTTAAGATCACTTCTCAGTATTCGATGTTTGTTAGATAATGAAGTGTGAACTGTACAAATCTGTTGACCCAAAATACATAACCAGTAAAAAAGCAGAGCTCGGCAGGAATGCAGGCAAGTCAATGAATAAAGGTCATCCATCAACTTGTTTGCCTTTCTGATTTTTCTGGCAAACCTAAGAAAGTTTGGACACCAACTATGAAGGGTTAGGGAAAGGTTAGCTTCCTGTATCCAAAATATTTATTTGTATCACACAAGTATAAGAAAAAAATGCATTAGTAACTCTTTTTTTCTCTAGAGACAAAGTAAATATCACACAAACAGCATGCCATGTCTTGAACTAGGACAGCATTTTTCTACAGGCCTGGGAAAGCATTAGGCTTCAGCCATGACTTCGAGGGACAGATCTGGTTGGGAGGTCTGACAGGATGCAGTTTCTCGGTCAGCACAGCAAGCATGGGATCAGCCAAAGGCTGTGCGCTTTTTTTTTTTTTTTTTCTTAATCATTATTATTATTTTTTTTTTTTTCATAGAGAACCATCCATCCTCCAGCACTGATTCACCTATTGAATGGGGATGAAATCAGGATGAAATGAGAGAAAAGTGGGCAGTAGAAATGTCTTTTTCTACCAAAAGAAGCAAATCCATGAAAAACATGTCTGTCATATTCATATCAACAACAAGCTTCGATTTTATCCTGGAAGATTCTGGAAGGGGAAAATGGTCAAGAGCATGGGGGCCCAGGTGGTCCTGTTGATGAGAAGAATGGCTTGAGGAGGACAGGATGGATCTAGTGGGTCAACAACTGCTTGTGCATCTGGAGTTGGCAACATGAATTTCACTTTCACGGCCATGGAACCATCTTCAACAACCAAGGGTTGCTTGGAAGAATCAGGACATCAATACATCTTTACGCACAGTCATGGCAGACGTGTACATCCCTTCATCCACCCAACTGTGAGAAGCAAGCCTGCTGTGCTGCTATAGCCAGCTTCCTACATCCATCCTGTTCTTCTAAATGCATCCGTATGTGACGTCAGCCTGGTGATCCCAAATCAAAATAAATGAATGATGAGTGTGTAAAAATAACAAAGGTTAGATAACATTGACTTTATTCAGACACCCGCAGAACTCAACGCCTAAAGCATGTAGCTTTTAAATACAGGCACACTGGGGATACCGAAAGGCTGACGTGTTAAAAGCTTCAATTTGATTTCCATGTCTCAGATGTGCTACAGTTTGTCTGACTACTAAAGCACTTATATGAATAAGACACCACACAGACATTAAAAAGTGTTTAAAAAATATCCAACAGCATGTCACGCTGCATTAGCACCCAGTGGATTTTATTGGCCTCTTTAAAAACAGAGCCAAATGAGACATGTTTCAAAGCTATGAAAGAATTCATGATGGGACTGCTCACATGGACTGCTCATAAAAGACTTTGTACTTTCATATTTCTCATTACAGACAGTGTATGAAAATAGGATAGCCACCAGTATTTGATTCTACTGCTCAGAGCAACACTGGTACAGACAGAGCTACTTTTCTATGCTATACTATATATAAGTGCACATACTATATGTAAGTTTATATATAGATCTATCTGCTTTTCACAGTGGCTTTGAAGCATACAGCAACAATATTCTCTAATATCATTACTTATTACTATATATAAATAAATAAATGTAAATGAAACTACATTTTCTAAAGTTAAACTGATGGAAGTTTGACCATAGTTGCCTATTTTATATATATATATATGCATATATATATATACACACACAGATATTCATACATAAAATAAAAATATCATTAGCATATAACAAAAAATACCTAAATATGCATACACAGAGCAGAAAAGGTGCCTACCACTCGTATAAACATCAATGAACAAACCCAAGCTTGCAGCTAAATTTCTGTACGGATTTCTTCCTCTTTGGCCAGCCTACTGGTGATTGAGCTCTGTGTACTCCAGCAGAGTTTTAATTTGCAGATCTTTCCAGCCTGCCCGTTTCCAGTTAAAAGGAGTTACTCAAAGAAGCAGAGAAGGGGAATATGTTATTAATCATGTATTAATAAATTAATGTTAGTGGGAAGCATTGCACAGCTCTAGCTCAAAACTGTTTAAGGAAGATGCTGGTAAAATATGGTCATGTAATACACTGCGCTAGGAAATAATTTTGAACTTGTGGCACTCTATGAAAACTTGATGCACTGAAATAAAAAGAAGGCTTGCTGCTGAATTCAGCAGAAACAGGATTTGGCTTCAGTGCTATATTAAAATCAGGCTACTGAAGAACACCCACGCGCCTCTGCAATTTGACTGTCACGGCTCCTACGAGGCCTACCGCTGCTATTTTCAGAGTTATCAAAAGAAATCTGGACACCCAGTTATTCCCTGTAATTTCAGGGAAATCAAAATTGCTCAGTCTTGAACCCGACAGAGAAAACTGTAGCTCTCCCTGATATTTTTGCATGTTTTTTATTTCCATATTTGCTTGCATGTACAGTAGAACCTGGGAGTGATAAACAGGCAGATAAGAAGGAAAGCTTTACGCCAAGAAAGAGAAGATTAGGTCCAAATATAGAGGGGTTTGTTTTCATTGGTAGCCTTCTTTTAAGAGCATACAATAAATAAATAAAAAATCTGATGGTGAGAGCATTGCAATACATTATTTGTGTAAGGAAAGTACTCTATGAACAGCATCTTTGGGGAACTTGATAGAATGTCTTTGGGGGGAGAGGTTGTGTGGGTTTTAAGTGAGGTATGGAAAGTAGATTTTTCTATTCCAGTTTTTGTTTCCTTGGAGAACACACATATTTTGGATAACATAAGGAAAATTCCACCTCCCTTATGCTTAAAACCGCTTTCTGAAAAGGGAGATATAGCATAAATTGGACTGACTGCAATTTATGCCACACTTTACATACACAAAATATAATCTTGCTAAGAATCCACTGAAATAATGACAGAGAGAGGGCTGTTTTTTTTCCAATGATGGTATTTATTTAGTCTTAGCTTCCATGGCTACATCGATAGAAGCGTAGATTAATCATTGCCAGGGGCTGTTCCCAGGCCTGAAACTTGATCGTGTAGCCCAATAACTTGCTAGAATTGGGCCTGCGATAACTTTGGCCTAGGCAAGCTATCACTCTTCCAAAACAATTTCTGGGCCTGGTTTGACATCAGTGTGGGCCAAGAACCATTCCCAATAAGCAATTTGGACATTGCCATGTTGTTTGTGACTCTAAGAGACTTTAACAGTAAGGACGTGGGCTTTACCACACCAGTTGGCCTGGGGACCACAAAATGCTCCCAGGCACATTTGAAAGACTAGTATAAAGAAAACTGATGAGTCCGAAATCAGACTGAGGTTTTCAGTGGTTCATTAACTTGAAGTTTCTTATTTTCTATTTGTTCCTAATACATTTTTTGCAGGTCCTTTTCATCCACAGCACAGCTAGCAGCGAACAGGAGAGGGAGCTGCCAAGATTTTTCAAGTTTTATCCTAAACACAAACCAAAACGCAGTTCTTCAGTGCCAGCTCAGCCCTGTGCCAGCAGCTGGGTGTACTGGAGATTATCACTCCCTTCAGGATCAGGCTCTCTGCAAGCTTTATGGAAGCAGACATGTAAATACGAACAAACAGATGTTACTAGCAACCAGCTCTTATGCTTTTCTGGAGAGCAAGATGGAGCGTAAGTATCTGTCCGCCTCACACTGCCTCTCTGTAGAACTATTTCTCAGTCTTTCAACAACATTCCCAACAAGATGGGTGTCTTCTGAGTAGGACCATGGCTAGGAGATCCCAAGGATTCCCATGAATGATCAGTATAAGTATCTTTGTGCTTTCATTCATTAATAAAATAATTTTTGCTTA